TTTTAAGAAAAAGTACCAAAAAGGCTCTCACACCAGCATATTTATAAATGTATTAACAATGCCTGTTGTCATTATTTGAAGTCCTTTTATTTGATGGAGAAATAAATCAATGAATAACACACCTTTTAACTCATTTAATATTTTAATACTTTTTTCCTACACGACTGCTCTAAGTAGAATTGGATTTTTGTGTCTTTGTATTAAGTGATAATTTATGACAACAAAATGATAAGTTCATAGTGGTCGTTTAGCGGAAACCACACGAATATACATTAATACAGGTGTTTTTACAAAGAAAAACAAGTGAATTTCGTAGTTGTCATATTTGAGGAAGGGTATACGCTAAATGATGAAAATTACAAAGACCAATTAATCATGCTATAGGGCCAACAGTGTTGAAATCTTAAAGATTTGGTAAGAAAATCAAATCACGTGTGCATATTCTGATCCATGTATGACGTAAAATAACATAAAAACATATACTCCATGAATATACCTGATAAAAGTAAGTTGTAAAAAATATGCTTTTGAATGAATTCTGCGTTCAAATCTTTGAACTGTGGCATCAGTTTAGATAACTCATAATATTATTACGTTGTTTAGTTTATGCATTTTAAACAGAGGGGTTAATATCACTTATAACACTGGAGCTGGATGGAGTTGATATCACGGAGCGTTTCCTAGGAGGTTAGTAATTATCTTGCTATGGCGTCAGACAATTGTCAATTCTCCTGGTGGGATTTAGATTAAATAATTTTACCATCTCCTATCAACTTACATATGCTCGATTTTTAAAGGATGCTTAAGACGTTTCTATTAAATTATATGTCGTTTTATCCTTTTAACATTGTTCGTAAAAAGCCGAAACAATTATGATAATACAAATATATATCCGATTAGAATCTTAACTTGCGTAAATATGAAAATATTGTGTTCTCACGGTAAAATGGGTTTAGATGATACAGCTTGTAAACTTTAATGGAATTAACACCTAGTCGGGACATTCAGTTGGCGGGATACTAAGTGGCTAGCTGGCATTACCTCGGTATTCTCTCCCCAGCATTGCGTCGTTAGAGTCCCTTTACTTTTTAATATTCTCTACCACATGCGAAAGTGGTAAGAATAGGCGATCATTATCGCCACTTGAGGTGCACTTGTGCCTTGTATCAGCACCCACTCGCAAATTACACGTGGAATCCATGCTTTGGTTCCCCCTTACGCGATAAAGAGATATTCATAGACCCGAGTTTGAGGGAAGACATTTTTTCTCTCAATAATTTTGATTTTACGGCAGATATACAGAAAAATAATTTATATCCTTTGATGACGTATTTTCATTTGTATTCTGATAATGTAAGGTATGATAATAAGGGTTTAAGAATATGTTTTCTTTATTTATTTATATATTGAAGTAATTCATTGATACTATTTGAACGCATCGATTATGTTAACATTAGTACGACATATTACATTATATAAAATCTTTTGCGTGGGATTCTATAAAACTTTTTCATGAAAAAATGAGATAACTACTACTCTTCTTGTTATTTTTCAAGTATTTTATATATTACTATTTTTGAAGATGGAAAATAATATAACGGGAAAACGGAAAAATCGGTTTTTCGTTTTATTACAAATGTGAATGATGCATCTTCATAAAAAATGCTTCAGCCTTTTACTTTAACCGTGAAGTTTTCCTTTTTTCAGACCTGACTCATTCCAAGCCTGTTTTGCTTAAAACATTTCCTTTTTTATTTTGAAAAAAAAGCCTATGTTTCCATACGTGTACATGTACAAAATAGTTTTTTCACTGGTTATTAAAATAAAACTAACATGCTTTTATTTCTAAACGTACTTAACATAACATACAGGAAAGAGAGATATAGACAATAATAAATGACTTTTTTACCTTTGGATGAAATCTAGTATTGTCTGTGATCCTATAAATATGAAATTAAATTTATAAGTTAAAAGGTAAAATGAACTGAAATCTAGAAGTACAAGAGATACTGAAAAAATGAATTTGAAACCAAGTTATCCAACCTGAAATTGAAGGAAAATATGAACAGATGTATGAAAGGGACTACAAGTGTTAAACCATATGGTGAAATGGATGAAATACTGCAACATATACAACAATTATCTGAAAAAAAACTGAAAGGAAAACGAAATTCATAAATTGATATGTTTTCTGTCTGTAAGAAAAATAAACATTAAGCTCCGCAATGCTAACTAGTATTTTATCTTCGCCGGTAAAAACTAATTATATTATAGTTTATTGAAATTTTAAAAGGAGAGCAAGATGCGCTGTAGATGCCAGAGATTGACATCGTGTTAATGCATCAAGTTATGATATTTATATTTTCATACATTCTCGGAAGGATTTTCATAAATAATGAATGGAAAGCGACAGTTGCAAATGAGCTTTCATGATATTCAAACACATGCCCTGTAAGAAGAGGGCCGGATATGAAATGCAACTATGTTCATATATTTCCCTAAAAAGACTGCATTATACCAGAATTACTAAGAACAAAAAACATTTAATCTAAAGAGAACAATTTGATGACTCATTTGCGAGTGAAGTAAACCATTATTACCGCTCACACAAAGTACAAATATATGTTGATTTTTTTAAATTTTTGTAAATATGTGGTCGATATGCTCTGAGACACACTTTTGTTTTATCTCATAACATTCATTAATCTACAACAAAACTTTTGTGGGGATTTTGTTACATTTGTGATGGTTGGTTTAAATGTTAAGTACAGATGCTTTACAATCAGTTTCAATTGCTAACACCATACTTTTATACACAGCAAAAGTACTGAGGAATATTAGAATTATATGGCATAATTAAGCTTTATCAATTTTTATTGTACTATTCGAAGAATGTTTTTTATCTGTTGAGCATTCTGCATATATACCATCTTTTTTTTTACAAGAAGCATCATGGCTCTCTTTGTTGGCTTAAAATTTCAAAGCTCTTGTTGAAAGTTTTTGTGTATGGAATATAAAGTTGAATTACCATTTATTTTATTGTTCCACTGACAGCATCATTTCAATGGATAGCTGATGTCTGTTTGAAGAATATATTGCATTGCCCGTCAAATTAAAACACTGTCTACTTTGCTTTCTTGCTTTGTGGTTTGGGCAATGCCATAGGGATATTATTGTAACAAAAACAATTAATCGTGTCTTGTTATTTCAAGTGCTCGTCCAAATATGCAAGCAGCGAAATTGATACTGTACTTGTAGTTCTAAGTAACAAAGTATGCGAGACAAACGATATCTATTTTATGGTTTAACAGATCAAAGAGTTAAAGAGCAACATATGGCTTGACTACTTCAGGGTTTTCTATACTGAAAACGAAAGTAGATCAGGTGTGTAACATATACCAATCCTCAATGGCGTCTGACAGGTGCTCGTCATTGACACCTAGGTCCAAAGCCCATCGACCTTCCATTTGGCTTCAATTATCGTCCGTCATTAAACCCCTGTTAGCTGCCAAATTCAATAAAGTCTAATTCCTTCCAAGGAGTGCGCTATTGTTTGTACATCTGAATGGCCATGTTAACGCTGCTCCCGTCAGATGCGGCTGCCATGGTGTTTATGTTGGTCAAACTAAACTTATCAAATACGTGGACTGCGAGTCTGCCGCCTATGTATCTATCTTTCTCATTATAACACGGTCTTTGGCATAGATAGGGAGTGGCTGGTCCGTAGACTATACAGTGGTGTATGTAACACGTGTGGAAAATGTGGCCGTTGAAAATAAAAGTATTCTGTTTAATCAGCAACTAATGGACATCGTATGTTATATGCAAGTAATACGTGTACATGTCAGTCGTGATGAAGGCATTCAGGCACAGTTTAATTTGACACTCATTTATTTCTTACATTCACGTTTAATTAGTGAATTAAGTTAACTCGGTTATCATGGTAACATTTTCTGAAATAATCTTAAATGATGTAAATATTTATTTCTTCATCAATATGTCAGCGTTGAAAATATTATGGCATCTATATTTCGAAATGTTCCGGGGAAAGTGCCAAAAGGTCAAAACTTTGAGCAGAAATAAAGGTATACAAACTAACGTCTGAATTGAATGTTTGTAATGCTCATGATAACTATGATAAAAGAACGATAGAAAAATGTTCCTTAACAGAACAAGGGAATGTTCGAAGGTACATAGTATGTATTCGATTACTTGTCTCTAAGTTTTTCCGCTTTTCCTTCATTTCAGAATGACAGTTAGTAATAGATAATGATTTTCCATATTTTCACAAAGTATACCTTTCAGTTTTTAAGATTTAAAGATAATGCAATGTGATGTATTGGTAATTGTATCATTGTCTCACACCATATTATGAACCTGAAGATGAATTTGTCAGCACTAGTGAGTAAACAGAAAGCTAGCATGGAAGCTATGGTAATTTTAGATGCAGGGGACTCTAAGTATGTTCGTTTCGGTCTAGAATAACTTATTGTACTAAGAATCATTCAGACTTACACATAAAAAATACTTACAAATTTTAAACTGGACGTATACATTAATGTTGGTTGTAAGTTCAATAACACATCAGAAACTAACTAGAATTTGTTGTATATATATATTTTCAAACATAATGACTGGTATTTTAAAATTTTTATACGTTTCTAGCATAGTAAATCAAATACAAACGGTTGATGATATTAATAATTGGCAGAAAGAAATATTGAATTGAAGTCGTAAACGGGAAATAATATTGATAAATAACAACTAGTAGGTATAGATACTTTAAACTTTTCAACTGGAAATAGTGATTTAATTACTAAATAACTATGACAAATGTATTTGCAACGCCATTTTTTTAAGTTTCAAAACAAATAAAGTCGACACTGAAAATATCTTGAGATTGTTATTTCGATCTAATTATTATTTATTGTCTTGTTTTAATGAAGAAATTATTATTTCATTTTTCACTTGTAGTTATATATTTTCTTTATATATTTCAGGTTTGGTTCCAGAATAGAAGAGCCAAATGGAGGAAAAGGGAACGGTATGGACAAATCCAGACAATGAGGGCGATGACTACAGGGGCCAACCCCTATGACATGCCCCTTGGTGCCAGGCATGATGCTTACTCTCAGGTACGAAAATTTGTATAACGTCAAGATTAATTATTGATTGCTTTAATTAAGAAAAATTGCGGCACTGACATTTTACGCTTAAAAAATATTTTTCTAGAGTATTCAGTGATATTGCATAAAATTTTAGTCAATTTAATTCTGATGTCTAGTTTTTAGCAGCTAGCTAGTCCTGTAGTTTAATGAAAGGGAAACATACATGAATGTGTAATTAAAACATAACCAAATATGTATTACTTCAAATACCCTTTAACTTAAAATTTTAAGATATCAGAGTTTACATTTTAAAATGCTAAATGAAGTCTTAAATTTTGCTATGGCTTGAAAAAGAATTGATCTCAAATAATGGTATTATTGATGAGAGGTAATTAGAATATCTGTGAGAATTTCGTAAAGTTCAAAATTACCTGTACATTGTCGACGGAAATGCATTATTTTATTAGTGACTTGCTCATGGAATGGAATGCAAACAATGAAATGAATGAATGAAAACAATTTGCTTTATTGATGCTTGTTTTTCATTGACATCAGACAAATTATGAAACAATAAAAATACCTTTGCCACATGTATTAGAAAAAAATGTGTTTATTTTTATGTTTGTTGATCCTTATTTCCAGATCCAACATAACCCATGGGCCGGTAACCCACAGATTCCGTACACTATGCAAAACTCAACCTGCATGGTCACCCACTCGAATGTGCCAAATTTCATGGGTCTTGCCCATCCTGGGCATCTTGCTTCACATCCGGGCGGTCCGCACCAACCTCCAACTCTGGCCCTGCATGGCGCTCAGTCGCCTCCCCTTGACCCTTGTGAGAACGGTGAGCGACGGACGAGCAGTATAGCTTCCCTCCGGCTCAAAGCGCATGAACACAGTGTTGCTATGGGCATATTTAGTGCATATGGAAAGTAAACAATGTGCCACAAGGCATGGCAATGTTATTTTACTGGATAAACAAATATGATAATTTGCCAGTAATGTAATTTGGTCATCGCTGATGCGTTGGCTAGGTGTGAGTGCTGGCTGGGAAAATCCCAAGATTGTCGAAAGGGCTAGCCGACATATGGCGTCAACAGCTGTAGAATGGACACTAAAGAAAACGAAAGCAAAGGAACGGTGTAAATGTAAAGGGTGGAGATAATATGGATTGTGACAGAAAGAATTAAGGAAGGTTACTACAGTACTGATGTTTATACACAGTGAATACCAGAGTGGTAATATAGGCTGATGAACGTAATAGACTGTCGCCGAAATCAGCATCGCATGCATTGTGTCGCGCGCATGTTTACACAAGGGAATGTTTCACGTGCTAGATGCTGGTAATGACAACACATCTACCTGATGCGTGAGTTACGACGGAGCTCGATATACACATGAAGTCTGGAACAGTTGGACACGTGCTTAATTTGTGCAAAGAATGAGACTAACATTACAAGTTCTATTCCCATAACTCTTGTTTCACATAAAATTAATTTGAGAAAAATATAGAAAATTATGCATTTTTTTATAATTCTAGATATTTGTGTTTCCGTCAATTACGCAACGCCGTGACCGAATAAATGATTACAACTGTGAAATGTACGTATATGAATTTCACGTGTATTAAAGACATTCATAGAATTATGAATAACCTATAAAATAGGCAGTTATTTGCATCATCCCTTTGAAGTGCCGTAACACATGGGGGAGTTTCTATTTTACGACAGTAGGTGGTGAACATGTGAACAAAAATTAAACCTCGTAGATTGCATTTCTCGGGGTCTCGGGACACTCTTATTCAAGCAAGGAAAACTTAAGGTGCAAAGGCCCGGGGATGAATGTCTCTGGCCACGATATTGTTAAATATTTTTATATTACAAAGGCATATTTGTAAACAAATAAAGGTGAATTATCTCCATGATACCTCGCAATCTGCAGGCTGAAATAATCATCATTCGAAATCTCTCTGCAGTTTACCATATAATGTAATACCCACATTCCGGAAACATGCTTGCCGAAATGTTTCTATAATTAATATTTAGGTACTAGAAAATGTTATACATTTTTCAGTGTATAACGTAGTATATATCTACATCTGGTAGTTAACACTTTGACCTTTCCCTCGTAATAAATCTGCAATTTTAAATTATGTAAACACGTTTATCCATTACAACTAATAAGTAGCAGGCCGAGGACTGTATGCAGGCTGTTAACATGTAGAATTAAGTCGTGATAAAATCATATTATGGGAAGGAAGACTTACAATTCTTTCTTAATGATCGTAAATAAATTGGAAAAAGTAGGGAGTAGGGAACAGATTAATTAATGATCAGATGGTGTAGGACCCGAAATATGGCAAGGAAATTGAGTAGGCCGTTAACGCTTTAATGGACTGCGGAAAGGACAGCCAAAATATACGTTTTCTTGGGCAACTACATCAGCTGTAAAAATCCTGCAGGAGAATTCAGTTTCAAAATATCTTTAGTCAGTCAGTTTTGATGCTAAAACATGGAACATTAATTATAAAAAAACTTTGGACTAAATCGTAGACTCTTCAGTATTTTCGTAATCAATGAAATATGAAGTTGATTGGTTTAATGGTGAAATATTTAATACTTACTGTCAGGGGTAAAAACAAAAACGAACGTATTACTATTTTTTTTCTATTTTTACATGATACGTCTGTTTTTCTATTTTTTTTCAAATTTAATTATGGGATCGAGATTGATTAAATTCAATAATTATTCATGTTATCACCAAGACATTCACATTCATTTTCCAAATAGCTTCACTCTGACTTTCGCGGTTCTCATATTAATATTAACGTGGTTTTATTTTCATGCTCTTTCAAATTGCATCAAAACAGAAAGAAGTCTTAACTTTCTGGAACGCCTATTCATTTCTTATCTTTGCTTTTCTGAGAGTCTCTGTGAAAATCTCATTATCTAATCTTTTGATGAATCAAGCATGACTTAGCTTATACATAATGAATGATTCGTCTTTCCATGGTGTATAAATTTGATTTTTTTAATCTTCGTTTGAAACACGTTTGTGCTAAATACACCAGTACAATTATATTTGCATATGACATAAAATTCAAAGTGTTATTTATGTTTTAGTTAAAGCATTCATAAAATAAACATTTCGTAATTTATGGTCCATTCAAAAATTCTAAGCAAGAACCCTTCCATTTATTTGCAAAACATAAACACTGCTCATTGGCATTCATCACAACTCAACAGATCAAGTTATTGGTCATATTATCAATGAGGGATGTACATTAGACACAAGGTGAATAACAGTTTTTATTACAAATGATGTATAATTATTAACTGCATAATACAGTTGTTTCGTCCTTTAAGACTCGGCAGTGATGTCAAAAGCCTTCAGTGTTGAAACCTAGGAGACGACCGAGGGAAATCCAAACTGGTCAAAAGAAATTCCGAAACATAGATGAAGAAGTGTACTAAACCAAAAGTATAATAAAATAAATTTCAAAATTTTCTTTGTAAAAAGTTTTTAAAAGAATGTCATGTACATGTGTATATTCTGAACCGGGCTCCTTTTTCGAATTAATTGAAATATGGCATGCAGGTCACAATTAATATCGTTAGCTTAAGCTCATCAGGGGTTTCTACCACAAAGAATCTAAACAACTATACAAAATATTTTCAAGTGAATAGCACGTCCCAGTGCAAAAAGGTTTTGATTTGGTAAAAATTAGCCAAATAATGGATTAAACTCTGTCTCAATATTTGAACTGTGTCTTAATTGGATATGATTTAATTCAATTTGTTCATTGAAGTATTTTTATATCCATCGTTATGAAAGTTCTTCTACAATATTTGTGGAATTCTTAAACTTATCTTTTACTTTTGAGGTAGGTCGCCCGTAAGCAATGTTAATGCAAATAATAAATAATCTTGCTGCGGAATTGTAAAATGATACTCTGACGATGAAATTCGAAGTTAATTAGAGTGTTGTCACATGGTCAATGATTATGAGAACAGAAAAAGTCACATAAACGATCAACAAGAATTCTTTTTTTCTAAAGTATCAAAGGATTAAGATTACACAAACAAAACCAGAAAACCGAAAAACAAAACAGAACAAACCCGCTCCCCCCCCAAAAAAAACCCACAAAAAACAAAAACAAAACAAAACAAAAACAAAAAACAAAAAACAATTTTAAAAATTGTTGAAAGTAGTTTTATTATGCAGATAAAGAGTCGGATTCAGCAGAGTCAAACAATGAATGAACTGAACTGCATCTGTTTCCTCCTTCTTGGACTTTTCAGTGATGCTATTGACCTATTGACTTTCGTATTGGACGAAATATATATAAGAAAAACCAGACAAGGAGATACAGTCAACCCAATTACTCAATAAATTTCATAAATGTCATAATATCAGTGGTTAATAATTCCAGAACGCCGTCAATTATTATTGCATTCTGAATCGTGCTTCTATTTGAATTAATTGAAAAGTGGCATTCAGGTTACGGCAAATATCGGGGTTCCAAATCAACATGCGGTTTCTGAAATCTTTTGTGTCTTTCGTGCAATCCTCAATATTGCAGTTGTACTTACAGCTCCTGAGATATGCCGTAATATACATGCCATGCTTAAAAACGAGACCAAAGTATAAACAAAGGAAAGAATCAGAGACCCTTGGAGAGAACCGGGTTATAAAAGCAGGTGATTCAAAATGATAAGTGACATCTGTTTCATCGGCAATACCTGTCATAGTAGTAATTATGCGTCTTGGTCCCGCATATGTAGTGATGCGTTCTTAAACCAGACCCTGATTTATAACAAGGACAGTATTAGGTATAAACTTTGGCCAAGAGAACAGAATATTTTTAACCAAAATAACGCCCAATAATCTTCAACAACATGGATTGCTTGAGGTCACGGCAAGGATGACTGATGCGTCCTGAGGGTACTCGCCACAATCCCCGTGACGATGGATCATGCGTACTGGTGATACTTGCCAAAGTTCCGGAAGGGATGGCTTATGTTTCCTGGGGATACTTGCAACGGATCCGGTAATAATGGTTCATGCGTGTTGGGGATACCCGCAACAGATCCGGTAAGGATGGCTTATTTTCCTGGGAAACTATATATATCAATATTTTCTTTTTCTTTGAACGACAAAGTCAGATATATATTCAAGGAAAAAAATAGTTTACGGTCTGAAATGATGAAGCAAGCCCAATTTGAAAATGCGTAAACAAATAGATAAATGAATTAAAAGGCTGCAATGTGGGAACGTTTAACATATTATCAACGTGCCAAAATCTGTTAAACTTGATATTTGTTTCTGCAATTTCTAAAGAGATTACAAAAGACACCTGTGAAAAACACCTTTTGATACAATTCTGGATTCAGATACAGTAGAGCCAAACAATGTATTAAACTGCATCATACAGCTATTTCATCCTTCTAGGATCTAAAATCATTATTTACAATAATTTCAAAATCTGGTAATTTAATTTTATACATGCTATCCAAGTGTATGCTGTATGCTATGAATTTTTATGAACAAAACATAAACGGAAAATCATGGGAGGAAAAAGAGAAGAAAAAAAACGATGGAATATATATTTCATACAACCTTGCCAAAATAAGTTATTAAGGAATTTGTATTATAAGCTTATGAGTTTAAATGAAATTAGTCTCCTTAGATATCTGTATAATTTTGTTAGGCCGAAAGTGGTTTTTCCACCGCCTCAGATGATATGTGTCTGTTTTATCAGATCCTAAAATCTCTTTCTGCTCAAAGAAAAATCCCATAATCCAGGAAGTTGTTGTGAAGGATCGAACAGAATTTGTTATAAGACTAGCTGGTTGTTATGACAACAGGATCTATCTAGGCACTGGATATAGTCGGTAGTCCACTTTTTTCATTAGAATTTTTTCTTGAAGCGAATA